ATAGTCTAAAAAATATTCTTTGTGTTCCAGTTAAGGTATCTAAGTATATTATGTTAATCACCAATTATGTAGAGCTATGTTTTTTGTTTGCAAATATTTATTTATAAATTGGAGAGATTCTATCCCAATTTTTAATAAAATACTTATGGAAACAGAAATATATGAATCTTCTCTTTTATATACCACCACTTCAATTTTTCATCATTATCGTCTCATGAGAAACGTAATATTAGTGTTTCCTCATTTTTAATACAAAAATAAAATTAAAGACCTCTGGATGTAGATCAGTAACAGAATACTTACTTAGCACATGGGTATGGGGTTGATTCATAGCACCAAAAACCAAAAGAAAAAACAAAAAAGATTTCAAGAAGGTAAGTAACTTGCCCCTCTAGCACACTGTGAAGTGAAGATGCAAGCATAGGCATTAAGATAATTAAGTGTCTATAGTCTAAATTGCCAAATTTTAAATTCTCTTTAATTTGTAAAGCATATGTAATTGACCAAAAATATTACAAACATTTATTTTTCTTAGTGTACACATGAACAATATATTGGACAACCTGGTGAATCAGGTATAAGCTTGTTACAGGGCAACATGAAGTGACAGTGCGGGATGAGATATGGCAGAGAACCCAAAATTGTGGTTTACCACAGTCCAACCCTTCCCTTGGAATGGTACAGACATGAAACTCCATTGTATGAGAACCTAAAGTGAGCTAACCCAGGAAAGCCATAGGCATGGGTCTGCCCATGTGTTTGGGAGTCCAACACCCATCTCTCTCATCTCTGTTCTGGAATCAGGATATACTATAGATTCAAGGAAGGTTATCCTGGAGTCTTGAGATTTTGGGTTACTTTTTGTTGGGTTTTAGACATAGTCAAGCCTGTTAGGCCTTTTCTTTTGTCTGCTCTCTTTCTGGAATGAAGGTATCTGGCCAACACAATTTGGAAGTAGATAACATATTTACCTTCACAGGCTCAGTGCTAGAGTATGTTTGTCTCAATGGTTGCTATGGTTTGAATCTGAAATGACCCTGAAAAGATCATTGTACTGAAAGCTTGGTCCCTGTGCAGCTATGTTTAGGGATTTTTGAAAGCATTTAACTATTAAAATTCTCACTTCCTCAACTGGATTAAGATTTTGATGACTATACAGTTAATGGGCTTTTGAGGAGGTGGGGATCTAATTGGATGAAGCCGGTAACTGGCAGCATGGCTTTGAAAGGTGTATTTCACCCCTGCTTTTCCCCCACCCCCTCTCTCTCCTTGCTGGCTGCCATAAGATGAGAAGTTTTTTCTGACCCACCTTTTTATCATAATGTTTCTGCCTCACCACCAGACTAAAGTAAAAGAGCTAGGTGAATATGGACCAAAAGCTTTGAAACGATGACCCCCAAATCTTTCCTCCTTTAAATTTTATTTTCATGTATTTTGTCATAGTGACAGAAATCTGACAAATTCAGAGGGTTTTTTTTTTTCTTCTCACCTATATCTGATACAAATGAGATTCCAGCCTTGGTACTTGAATAAACAAAGACTTGGTATATTGGAATGTGATGAGTGTATGTTGCATGTGAGAGGGACATGAAGTATGGGTGCTGAGGTTGGAAAGCTATTATTTTTTGTTCCTCAAAGTTTACATGTTGAAAGCTTGGTCTTTTGTGCAGCGGGGCTTGGCTCATATAAATGGAATAATTTATTTGTGGATTAATGCATTATTGACAGACATCTTTCCATAAAGTGAACAATCTCTGCTTGCTCTGTTTTACCGTGTTTCACTCTCTGCCATGTGATAATGCACAAAAACCCTCACTTAGATGATAACTAGATGCTAACTAGATCTTGCCACTTTCTACAGCCATGAACTAAATATGCTTCTATTTTTTACAGGTTACCTAGTCCACTGTATTCTGTTATAACAACAGAAACTGTACTAATAAATGTTGAAAATGTCTCTTTAATTTCTACCCCTTTCTGTCCAAATCTTTTATAATCCTCTTCATTTGAGTATGGGTAAGGGGAGTGAGTGAAATGCAATATTTCTCCAATGATTATGTTGTATTACAGGGAGAAGAGGAAGGGATTTTCAGATATAATGAAAGTCTAAAAGTGATTGATTTTGAGTGAATAAAAAGGGTTTGGGTAAACCTCAAGTAGTCATGTTAATGTACTTTACAGAGGTATGGAATTTTCCTGAAGAGAAAGGCACATCACTATGGCCACTGACAAAGCAAACGGTATGTCAGCTATGAAGAGGGGCATTCTCTGGGGGAGCTGGGACATAAGGACATAAATTTGGCTAGCAATTCCAGATGCCTGCAAGACACCTCTTCCTGATCAAATCTCCAAATGAGAATATAGTCAGGATAACACTGTGATGTCAGCCTCTCTCTTGAGACCTTGAATAGAGAAGGATACTCAAGTTGAAGTTCTCAAGTTGATCTGTGCTCAGTGTTTGACCAATGGAGACTGTGAGGTAATGTGTGAGTATTGTTTTAAGCCATTAAGATTTTTAACTTGCACAAATTCAAACATTAATATAAAAGTCCTGATTTCATGATTTTGTTAGGCCAGAGTAGGTTTTGTTTACAGCAGTCTGATCTCTTTCTCTTTATGCTTTCTTCTTTGTGAAGATAACTGTTGTCTGTGGAGAATGTACAGAGTATTTGACACTAGGTTGTCCAGCCAAGGTAGTGATCTGGCAACATCAGCTCCATGCTTCCTGGTACCTTTAGAGTCAGAGAATTTGCAGTTTTCTGTGATAGAGGAAAGATTTCCTCATTCTCTTGGGTAATTGAGTTTCAGTGATGTTTTCTCTCTGAGAGACAGGGGAAATAAGTGATAGGTAGGTCAGTGTCCAGAAAGTGAATGCCTGAGAGATTTTCAGATAACTCAGCTCTCTACATTTCTTTCTCCCAATATCTCTCTTTATCAACGTGACCCACACTGTGTTCCTTCAAAAAATAGGGTGACTTCGATTATGCAGGAGCTCAGCACTCTTTGTTGTACTGGGTAGATTTCTTTTCTTTCTTCTTTTGCTCCTAATACCCCTGTATGCATTATGAATCAGCAGGGGAACAATATGGGGATGGACTAGCATGTGTAATATCCTCTGCAGAAGAGATATCTATAGTGCCCCTAATATGATTATGTAATATGACTATGACTCTGTAATATAGACTGTTGGTTATTATTTAATCCTTCTTTTATAGTGATTCATGGAACACTTCTTCTCCATATATTATTGTTGAAGCAATGATATAAAGATATCATTAACTTTTGTCTCCAAGATGTTAGCAATTTATATTATGGTAAATATCTTAGTCTTTACCCATGAAGTACAAGGTTATTTACATCTAAATAAAAATAGTCTGGTTTCACTAATGAAATGGCAACCAAAAAATTATAAATTTGATTGTGTAGACTGAAATTTAAAAATTAGATGAAAGAAAATAATGAATGTATCTTGTTGCTTCTTTTCATATTTTAAAACATGCTGATTATGTTATTTGTAGTTTTTCACATTTAACTTGTACATGAGTTTTAAAAATGACAAGAACTGACAAATTCAAACAATAGATACCTTAATACATCTCTAAATATTTGTAAAGGATTCTTATTATATTCTTATTATATTATCACTTTCCCACATGCACACCTCATGCTCTCCAGGTTGATTTGGTTTTTTTTATATGTCATGTTTAGCCGAAGTTATATGAAGTAAGATTTATATAAAATCACTTAAATCAAGAAACATAAGCTTTAGCTGATTGGTATCACCAGATGTTTTATGTCAGAAGAAATCATTATATAATGCTTTACTAAATATAGGACATGATTAAATATAGTATATGATTTAATCACTTCTCCTGGAAAATATTTCTCCAGTGTGAAAAATATAAATAAACAAGAAAACTCAAAGATTTATGAGTCACAATTTCAGTTAATAAGCATTCATTTATATAAATTAAAAGCAAATATAATTTTATAGGCCCTAGCAACTATAATTTGTTCATGTTCTTTTA